TACTTTTTTTCTCACAAAATTTTATACAGAATTTTGTCCCTCTAAAAATTAGTATATAATAAAAAATATAAATTTATTTATATATATTTTTATAATAAAAAAGTACCCTAAACAAAAAAAATATAAAATTAAGAGTAAAAAAATGAGAAATAATTACATAATATGAGATTTAATTGGAATGTACAGCTACACTACATCAACTTATACCATTAAAATTAAATATTTTAACACTTTTAATATTAAAATATTCAAAAATTTCTAATTTTCTTACAAAATTGAAAAGCATTATGCAAACTACATAAGTATTTTTTAATTAGAAAACACTGAGGCCAGTCGAGGACAAAAGTCCTCCTTCCCCCTATAAAATGCGAACCGACAAATGGGAGTGGCGAGATCAAAATTCTAATTTCTCAACAGCAAAGCGGATAAAGCGATTAATAAAGGAGAGTATTACTCCGACTTGTTTTCCTTTCGGAACGGGAAAAATTTTCCTGCAACAAATAGTTTAGCTTCTTTTTCTCTTAAAATACCGGAGAAAAGGCGTGTAAGGCATCTCCTTTCCTGTTCCCATCAACTCACGCGCTTTCAATTCTGCATAAATTCCTAGCGGAAGGTTTGGCTCTTTGTTCACTGTGTTCCTTCCCTCTGCAGATATGAGTGACCCTAAGTCTGCTTATCCTTACCCTGCTCAACCTTACCCTGCTCAACCTTATCCTGCTCAAGGTAATTCATTCCCCTTTTCCTTTTGATTCTTAATTTTGCCTCTCTGATGTTCTTTCTACAGATCTTGCATTACAATTGATTAACCCTTGATTTTTTAGTTTAATTATTGTTGTTTAAAAAAAAACCCGTTTTTCTTAGGGAATGAGCTGTAGATTTTTCAAATTAGGATGCTTTTTTTGTTTTATAGTTGTTCAGCTATCATGATTTGCGTATGGGGTTTTCTGTTGTTAAGGATTTCTGGGTTTTATTGGGCTTTTCTTTCTTCTGCTCTAAAGTTTCCATTTTGGGTACTGATTAATTCTGTAAATTTTGGTTTTTTTTTTTTAATTTTTGGTGACAGGGTATTATCAAGGACCCCCGGTAATGGCACCTCCACAGTACGCAGCCCCACCACCCCGGCGAGAGCCGGGTTTCCTTGAAGGATGGTAATTTCTCTCCTACCATGTTTCTGAGATTCTGCACATCATATCTCCTTTTTCTTTATTTTCTATAGTCATTGTAATCTTTTGGTGTTTTGGGTTGAACTTGCTGTTACAGTCTCGCGGCTTTGTGTTGCTGTTTCCTCATTGACGAGTGTTGCTGTGACCCTTCAATCGTCTTTGCCTGCTAGCTATTAGTATATCGTGTATTTCCACTGCAATGATCCCATTTCTGTTTCAAATGTGTGATAATGTTTCATGTGTGAATTCATGTTTAAAGAAAAAGCTTGAAGACTATTCTTGTAGGATCGCATTGATTTAATATCGAACTCTTCCTTCAATCTCTGGTATTTCTTTTCCCTTCCAGTTCCCTACCCCATGATGGAAACAATATCCAGTTTCCTGTTTCTGTTTGCCAATTTGGTTTCCTTCTTCCATACAGGGGCAAGCGAGGTGTATTAGCCTGTGGATGTGGTTTGCTAAGGGATTGATTGTGTTGCAACTTAGATATTTTAATAAAAAATAAAATAATATATTTTATAAATTAAATTTATTGTCCCATTAAAAACTTAGTCAAACTAGTCGTTATAAGTTAATTGTTCTACTTAAGAGCACACTATTTCATAATAATTGATCAATTTATTCTTATTATTAATCTACAAATGGAAGGTACAAGACCATTAACCCTATAAGTAGGACATGTCATTTTGCTCAACAATGGTGTGTTCCTCCACATTCTTTTATTTTTTTTCCCTTACTTTATCTTCTAAATATTTTTGGGTAAAGAAGAGTATTTTGAGTTAAATAACTTTATGGGTAGTGCAGATTTATAAAGTATAATTATAAAGCTGTAGCATCATGAGGGCGATATGCTATATATATTTCTATTACATTGGTTGATCTACTATTTATAGAGACATGAATCACCTTAAAGTAAATAAGTTTTTTGTGCCTATTTTGATGTTATTTTTTTTTATTAATATTTCTTGATAAGTTCACTAATTATTATTTTATTTGATTTTGTGACCGAAGCACAACAATGATATGATGTGAAGATGGAGAAGAGTGTTCGAAAAACAACAATTTTAAGACGATTTAATATGCAAACAAAAATTGAAACATGTGCTACTTTGTGTAAGCAAAATAAAAAGTTTTGATTTTCTTGAATATATATGCTCCAAGTAGGTACGAGTTGAATTCTTTAGTTTTGCTGAAAATACATGCAAGCATGTCTAGCAATCTGTAAGGTTTATGTTGCTAGTTGATGATAGTGATTAATGTCATAATTATTTTTGCATGATATAACAAATTCTCAATGGCTAAGAAAAAAAAATGTTAAGGCATGCTACATGCAATTTAATGCCTCTGGTTATACATGCATATATATATATATATATATATATGAATATATGATTAATTTGGCTAAAAGACATACATGACCATTCATAAGCAATTTATTTGTCATGATGATTATTGATTTATATGCAACAGTGATTTATTACCTAATCATACTTATATGAATTGTTATGGACTTTATGGTTAGCATGAATGTTATATTAATTGATAAATGCATGCATATTAATGTGGGAGTTTTCCCATAATATTAAGTATTATGATAGTAGCTGTTTGAATTAAATTGATCCTAGGTAAGTATATATTTTAATATGAAATTAAGGATATAGAAGCTCTATTAATTAGAATTGCTTTTTTATTGTGTAATTTATGAGCTTTAATATGCACCATTAATATGTAATTAATTGGTGATTATTATTTTTTAGTGGTAAAAGAAAAAAAGTGAATAAATATGTGCATTTAATTGACCATGTTATAGAGTTATTTGGTGAAATGGGTGAAATTTTTGAGAGTTGGAGAGCCATTGATTTGGTCCATCCAATTATTTTGATAAAAAGTGGACATGAAATTTGGTCAATTTATTTTAGAAATGTAAGGTAAATTTTTAAGCTTACACAATTGAGGGGCCATTTATGGCGATAAAATGTGAGATTAGCAAATATGCTCCTATGAAAATTTTGTGAGAAAAATGAGTTTCTTCATGAACTCAATTATTTAAGAAATGCGATAGTCACATATTTGAGATGCTCTCAATATGGGGATTGTGATATCCCTATATATTGCTATTGGTGATAAGACCAATGGTGCCTACTTGAAATTTTATATAACACACTATTATACAATAAGATATAATGGTACTTAATAAGTAAATATGATATACACTCTTATTGTATAATTATGGTATAATGATGTATAATAAAAAAGAAAAAGGCATTTTACTTGATTAGAAGGGATATGTTATGATGGACATTCTTATTGTATAACAAGGTACAATAGTGTTTGAGTTAAAAATTGTTAAATACATGTTTTGACATGTATATAAAGAAAATGGTGGTTTGCTAGCTCAATTTAATATTGAAATTGTGGTACCATGAATTGAGAATTTGAAAAATATGAATGTGAATTTTATGAGTTAGTAGATATGTGGGTTGATGTGAAAAAGTGAAAAAAGAAAGTTAAATCTCTTTGTTACCGACTACACCACTAATTAGACCTTTGGCAAAACCAAAAGTTAGAGAAAAAACCATGATCATAGTCCAAAGTTTAATGCTCATCAAGGGGAATGAGATTTGAATCCAATAATGTAGAACTTCCTATAAAGATACCCAACTCAAATTCTAAAAATTGGGTTTGGAATAGGAAAAACGAATTATAGATAAGTCATTGTTGAAAAATGCATTAATATTTAAGGGAAAAAAATTTTCGATCTCATTCCAAAGGTGAGGATGCATCTATCTCATAACAAATTAAAGGATGAGTTATGGGAACACTCTTGACAAATTTCATCTATGTGGGTGCCGAAGTGAGGTTGTTCTTATGAAAACGAGATGGGCAATTTTCTAGATCACCAATGAAAACTAAGATCATGTGTAAGGTCGTAATGCACCAGTTATCTGAAAAACTCAACATTTGGATTATTATGTGTATGATACGATTTTTATATCTTCTAATCGGGTTATAATTCAAGATTTAATTCATTATTTTTTTTTTATCAGCAAAGTGAATTTTTATATAAAAGATAAATGGAGTATAAGAGATACTCCTGCCCTTTTACAAAGAAAGAAAACAAAAGCTCCCTGCACAAGAAAAAAGACAATGCAGGGGCACAAAAAATGAAGACCCCGAAAGAACAAGAAAAATCAGAAAAGAACACACTTCAACTAAACTGAAGTCATTTCTGTTGCTGATTAAACATCTTCAGGGATTTCTTGAAACGCTTCAACTCCCTTGCACACTCCAACGGGTTGCTTTGCCACTGGACCAACGAAAAAACACATCCAGCCACCTTGTTTCTTACCCAAAAGTGAGTTTTAACTTGAATTAGCTCCAGCAATTGCTCCCTAATATCCTCCTCCCTCCGAAATACCAAGACATTTCTCCTATACCACAAATACCAAGCAGTAACAAGAAAAATGTAAGCTCCCATCTCCTTACCTACCAAACTACCTAGCCCGTAGATGAAAGTTTCTGCCACACCCTTCACTGTATCCGGCATCACCAGTTCCATACCCCACCACTTAATCATCTTAGCCCAAACTACCCACGCTTCCATGCACGTGCAAAATAAATGATCTACCTCCTCCACCCCCTTCTTGCATAATCCACACATCATATTATCCCCCTGAAAGGTCACCCCTCGTTTCTGTAAATTCCTTCTAGTTGGGAGTCTGTCTAAGCATAATCTCCACCCAAAAATACTCACTTTAGAAGGCACCAACCTGCACCATATCAATTTACACAACTGGCTGTCCAATAAGCATTCCACAGGAGCTAAAAAATCATAAGCTTTCTTTACTATATACCTACCCTCCACATCATACCTCCACTTCCAATAATCACCTACATATTTCCTAAGCTGAATAGTACCCGATACCTTCCACAACTCCTTTTCCTCATCTTGCTCCCGACCCATCCTTTTTCTTCGCCACCCTATTTCCCATCTCCAACTATCCCCTTTTCCCAAAACCCGTACTCCTGAACCATGCCCTCCTTGTTTGTGGCTAATTGAAAAAGTCGTGGGAATGAATCTCTTAAAGAATTGTTCCCCACCCATATTTGTCTCCAAAAACCCACCCTGCCTCCATCTCCTACCTCCCATTTAAACCCCTTCACCAGCATTGTTTTTAATCTATTGGATTTCCCCCCTATTCTAAGAATGTCTCCCCAAATCTTTGACACTCGCAGCTTCTCCACGTCTGTAATATTGACCTCCTGCCCACCTCCATAATATTTCTCTATCACTACCCTTTTCCATAACCCCTCCTTTCCATCCCCTAGCCTATACCACTATTTTCCTAACAAGGCCCAATTTCTACGGTTTAAATCAGGAACTCCTAGTCCTCCATTCACCTTGCTACCACAGATATCCTCCCATTTCACCCACGCTATCTTCCTCTTCTCATCATTCCCCCCATCCCCACCACCCCACAAAAATACCCTTTGAATTTTAACTAATTGAGCATTCACAGAACTTGGCATCAAAAATAGAGACATAAAAAAAGTAGGGAGAGCAGAAAGTACCGACTGAAGTAGCGTGAGGCGACCGCCAAAGGACAGCAGGGCAGATTTCCAGACGGCAAGTTT